TTGTCGCTGCCAGTATAGGAGACAAAAATATAGAAAAATAATTGTTGAATGGATAACAATAAAATAAACCTACATACACATAAATCAACCAGTACCATGACTTAAAAGGTTATATTTTTTTCTTTCTTTTTTTTTAGATAGGGTTTTTCCGTGTAGCTTTGGCTGTCCTGGAACTCAATTCTGTAGACCAGGCTGGCCTCGAACTCAGAGATCCACCTACCTCTGCCTCCGAGGACTGGGATTAAAGGCATGTACCACTACCATCCAGCAAGGATGTATTTTTTTAAAGGCTGACTGTGAAGAATTTTTTTCATTATGAAAAGAAGGAATTATAATCCATGTTTTTCTCCACAGGACACTAAATGGCCCATCCCTAAAAAAAAATGTTGCTACCTTTTCACTGTGACATGAGAACAGGGCTCACCACATAGCCATATTCACAGTGACTGGCCTTTCTTTTACACAATTCTTGCCTTCTACATCTAACTAGACTACATTGTGAATAGTCAACTCCAGGTTCTTGATCGCTTTCTCCTCAGAGACCCTCATCTCCCTGTGTTCAATTGTTTCCTGCCTCCTCTCTGAAGTCCCTCATGAACAAGTGCACACACACTCTACTGTCATCTCTCCTTTCATGAATTCTTCAGGTAGTTCTGCCTTCTCTGCTTTGTGGGTTTGGAAGGGAAGATAGCAAAATCCATGAGGTGCCAATGCAATTCCTCCTTTAGCAGAGTTCTGCAGGACAATTACCCAGCCAACCTGCTAGGCTTGATAGGGCTCATGAACCCTCTTTCATGAATACACTGTGACAGCCGGACGCTGCCTTGATTATGACAGCAGTCTTCAGCCACATTCCTTTTTAACTGCAAAGCAGAGCCCTGCTTTCCAGCCCAGCATTGGCCATGTGACCTTTAAATTACTGCATTTCTGTAAGCCTTTCCCTAGCTAGGGGCAGTGTCCAACTCCATCAGACCTGGGGAGGAAGACTGGTGATTGCTACTTCTCCAGTAGGTTCTTTGGCTCTGTAGCCTAGGGTCTCTTGTCGGAATCAATTTGGGGTGCCACGGTGTTTTCAAAGGAGGTTTGCTAAGGCTGGAATGTACAGGACCGCCCACCCCCTTTCATGAAGGAACTGAGGAAATAGGTAATAAAACGTGTTGGCAGATGCCAAAGAGTAGCTGATCCCCAGAGGCTTGCCTGACCTTTACTGACAGGTGTAATAATCAACGGAGAGGCTAGGAAAGGGAGATGGGGAGTTGGAAAGCAAGATTTGAAGAAGTTACAAATCGGGTTCAGACCCCAGAATCACCATTTGTTTAGCGGTATAGAATCATAATCCTTAACTACAACGGAAAAGAAACGTTAGTATTCAAAAGAAATCCTGGTAACAGAGAGGTGTCTATTCAGATGAAGGATATGAGCTTTAGCTTACTGTATTGGAGCAGCCCAAATCTGTCCACTCGAAGATTTTACTGAAGGACATCAGGGGTGTGGTCTGCAGGTTTTAAAACAGGACCAAGCGAGATGATCTGTGTGGGTAGGGGCACCGTTAACCGACCATCAAAGCAGATGCTGAAAGATCTGCACTGGAGGCACAAAAGGCATGGGCTAGATCAGCAGCAACCAAAGGGCGCCACATGTGGAAGAGAAACCGCTATCGCAAGCAGTAGGTGTACGTAGGCAGTCAGCCTGACCCCAGTAGAACACGAGGGGCTCTGTCTTTAGCAGTTGCAAACCTAGGGCTCCTATGCATAAGGACCAGGGCAAACGTAGCCTTTGTTCAGAGACTAAGCAATTCTCTAAGACAGGTCAGTGTTAATAGGACTTCACTCTCCTACTTCGTCAGCCTGGTGTGTTTCTAGCCCCGCCTTTCTTGGGCGGGACTCATCGCCCCGCCCTGCAACCGCCCCGGGGTGGGGCTCCCGCCGGTTCCGGGCAGCCCTTTCCTCCGTGGCCTTTGCCAAGGCTGCTGTGTCCTGCAGAGCTCCGAGCACGTGCAGGTGAGTGAGGGCCCGACGAGGAGAGGTCCTAGAGATTTTACCTACCTAGGCGAGACGGAGGGTGAGGAGGCTTCTGCCTGGGCACGGGAAGAGACGGGGGCTTGTTTCCTTGTGCCTCCGGTCTTGGAGGTCATCTTGAAGGGATTAGGGGAAATCGTAACTCGAAGAGTTGCCACCAGTGAGGTGCGGTCCCTCTGTAGCTGGGGAGTCACCTGGAATATGTTCAGAGTTTAGCATTTCTGGAGCTCCGGGCAGGGACTGCGAACGGTTTGTGAGGAACACGTGTCCATGGGGAACCAGAGCTGCCTCAGCCCACGCCCTGAAAGGGTATTTAGAACTGAACAATGAGGCCTATATTATTTTTCCTATTCCTTTAAATTGCTTAGAGTGGGTTAGACGTGAGGTTTGGGAATGGCATGAGTTTGGGTAACTTGCCTTTTATATGTTATAATGGTGTGCAAAGTGTTAGCTCACTTTGTAGTTGCCTCACACGGCAACTACATTCAGTTATTAGATAGTTACTGTAATCCTACTATAGAACTCTGAGGCAGTTATTTTGGTTAATGGATAAGCTCTTGAGGGATAGAGCTCCCAAAGGTAAGCTGTTTGTCTACTGTTGTGTCTGTCTGTGGCTCAACCTTCACAAGGTGAAGGGGGTTTGAGGGCAGAGAGTTTTGTTTTCTTTTTTTCCTTTTTTTTATTTTCTTTTTTCTTCCTTTTTTTTTAAACTGCACGGGCGTTAACTGCTGGCTGATTTTAATCTGGGATGTTTTGATTTCATAGTGCCCGGCTGCCAGTTTCAGGAGATGCCTGCCCTGGTGAGTAAGATTCCGCTGGTTCTCCTTTGCCCCAGCTGTAGGCAGCTACCTAGGTTTTCTTGTACCTAGGCAAGTGTTACACGGCTGGGAGAACAGCAGCCAATAGCTGGTTGGCGTTCTGGGCCTAGTTCATGCCAACTCTGTTGTTAACTATTCCAGGATGTCAGCATAGTTGCTTACCCGCTAAGGTAAGAGCAAGCTGTGCAGGAAGAAGCCTAAAAGCCAGGTCTTCAGTGGTTCTGGTCTGGCAAGTTTGATATGGGTTACTCAAATCACAACTTGGAAGCAGAACAAAAGAAATCAAGCCAGTGAGGGTGTAAACAGAAAAATCCAGATTTAGTGCCTGTGACTAGTCTGAGCTGGCCCTGAGACAGTGGAGGAAATTACTAGAATGTGCTCTCACTAAAAGTGCATTGCTCCCCCTCCCCACAGTAATAAGAGCTGGACTATGACACCCCTTTCATTTTTCTAGGTGGGTTTCTCTGTGTCAACAGCTCTGGCCAGCATCCTAGAACTCATTTGTGTATCAGGTTGGCCTCAACTCACAGATTCACAGGCCTCTGTGCTGGGATTAAAGGGTGAGCCACCAATGCCGGCCAATATCCCTTTCTAAAAAGAGACTTCAGAAGTACGCCATGGAATGAGCTCACTGGGGAATGCTGAATCTGGCACTGTGGCATGCCGGATCATCTTTAGGTTTTCTAGAAGCCCAGTCTCAACAAAAGTTAGTGCTCTGCTCTAGTTCTTCAATAAATGTATCGATTAATCATGGGGTTCTGGGAACCAAGCTTAGGTCAAACAGTGGCAAGTGAACAGTTAGATATCTTTTGTTTGATCTTTTTATTATTAGGATGCTGATTCTCTAAGAATGCCCCAATTTTAGGCAAACCCATCACTTAGAATGAATCGTGATTGTCCAATGGAGCCTACCTAGTTATTGCTTCTGTGAGAGCTAATATCCTGGTTTCCACAGACAAACTTACCCTCAGTGTGTCTCACCCACATCCTAAGTGGTTGGCATCCTGCCTAGGCCCTTCCCTTTTCTTTCCTCTCTTTTTGGACAGGGGTCCTTAGCAGCCTGAAGTTCCATGACTCAGCAACTCACTTGAATTTGAATAGACACTCAGGGATAGCCAGGAGTGAGCTCTGTAAACAGGCCCCCTTAATCAATTTCCAGAAGTTACTTACCCTGAGAGGTGTTTTAGGAGACCCAAATAAGGGGTTTAATCTGGTCTATCAAGCCACCCCTTTGCTCTTTAATGCCATAGGCTACCAAACCAATCAGAAACTAGTACTAATGACAGTATTGACAGGAAAGTTACTGCCCTGCGCTACCCATTTCAAACCCTCTTCTACCGCCCCATCTATCTCCACCTGCCCTTGGGTTCATGCCCATAATTACTGTTCTCAGATAATTCCAACTGTCCCTTCCTTTGATCTTCTTGATCCAGCTTTCGGGGACTTGGGTGGCAGGCCGCCAGAGCGCTCTTTAAATTCACCTCTTAAAAGGACTCAAGTGTTCACTGGGAATGGTCTTAGGGCTAGCGAGGGGCAGAGGGCTTCAGAGGAGTTAGCAGGAAGACAAAACAAATTACATTTATTTGAGTGGAAGGACAAAGGATAACTCGCTTCAAATATTCAGTCTCGGGAGGACTGACTAGTTACTTATAATTGTATATATAGTGCATTGTTAATGCCTAACTATTATGAATTTCTAAGCCTATTTGCTTGGTCTCTTTAGGATGACTTGGAAGTAGGGTGGTCTTCGCCCCCCTGAGAGAAGTAGTGCAGGTGTGGTTATCAGGTAAGTGTCTATTCTAGCATTGACTGCCTTCTCTGCCTCATCACTATAGATACGCATCAGGAAACAAAGGGAAGCAGATTCACTCTTGGAGTTCACTGTATTGGTGTTTTTGTTTGACAGTGTGAAGGATCTTTGTGTCTGCCATTCCAACTGAGGAATGATTTATAGGGATATTGTGAGTCCTAGAAGACAAAGTGCAGTGTGTCTTGTTCACCGCTAAGAGTCGAAGTTTAGTCCCTGCCAAGTGGCAGAGACTGCTGTTGGATAAAACTGGGAGTGTAGGTCCAACATCTAGCTGGTGGAGAAGTGTCTGTTCATGTCTGCTCCCTGCAGTCAGTCCGAGTGTACATGAGAGGGAAAGGAGATTTTCTGGAGTGATCCAACAGTTGTCAGCTGTCCAGGCTGTGGTGCCTGTGACTGTGTTACACTGTTGGGAGAATAAGCGCTGTTCTATTGGGGGTGGCTCCGCACTGTTTTGGTGTCGGTGCCAAATACCTTCAGGCAGTGTTTTGCATCCCTGAGAGTGGAATGGCTCCTTGTGGAGTTGGTCCTAGTCTAGGTGCAAACAATTTTTTTTTCATGCTAAAAGGAATAGAACTGAATGGAATGCAGTAGTGTGGGGAGGACGCTTTGCCTCCGTTGCACTAAACCTGGCACCTTACTGACAGCGTGTTACCTTCTCTGTTAATTCTAGGAGAATGAGAAAACTGCCTCCATCAGGACTTCAGTCTGACAACACCGTGTTTTGAGTAATGTATGTGGTCCCTGTAATGTCGAGGTCTTAAAGTACTCACTGGGAGGGGAAGTTAAATTTTCCTCAGAGGATTAAGGAGCTGTGGTAATTCCAGGGAGTGCTTGCAAAGTCCAGCTACAGTTTGGGGCATGGGCCTTGATGGGATTCACACCCAGGGCAACTGAGCCACATCTCCAGCTGTAATTTCTTGAGGTACTAAATGATGGCCCTGTACTACTGGAGAGATGGGTCACTACTTGTTCTCGATCTATTTGGATAGTAGCCATCTTATGAGAGCTCAGAACATTTCAAACACTTTGGGGACCTTGGTACACTCCAGATAGGAAATATTGTTAATACTGTGTTTTTTGCAACTGTGAAAAGCAGACGATGTATCGGCAAATGAATGCGGCTATATTCCAATAAAGTTTACTGATGAACACTGAGATTGGAATTTCATTGAAACTTTGAGGGTAAACATTCCCAAATGTTTAAAAAGCTTTTTTTAAAAAAAATTCTCAGGGGCTACTGACAAAGAGGTAGCAAAATAGATTTAGTAACATTTCTGACCTTTGAGTGACATTCAGACCTTGGGATGGAACAGCATTAGTTACAGTATCAAAATATATCTTCACACATTTTAGATAAGATTTTAGGATCACTAGGTGATCCTCCTGGATCAGCCTCCTAAGTGCTGGAGTCGTGAATCACGCCGAACTTTTGTCTGTATTCCTTATCTGAAAAGAATAAAGTGACTAAATTATCTAAAAGAAAAAAATGATCCTCCTTATCCTTGGGTTTATATGGCTTCTATTCTAGTGGTTTTCGCCATTTGTAATGACTTAAAGATATTTTAAGCAAAGGTATATGACATGTGTGTGGATACCCTGGGATGATTGACTCAGAACCAGGTATTCTAGGGGGCCAGCAAGATTAACCACTGAATCTGTCAGGCCCAAGACTTTTTTGAGACTTCCTTGTGTTTGGCCTAATACTATCTCCATAGTATCTCCAAGTGCTAGAATGGTAGGTGAGTACTCCCGCACCCATCCTACTGCCTATCTCGCTAGTTATGGGGTTGCTGGTGCTACATCTGGTTTAGTGTATTCTTTAAAAGAGACAGTCTTGTGTGACCAAGCCTTAACTATGTAACTATGTAACAGTAACTTCCTGTACCTTGCAAACAGTCTGATTACTGGCATGTACTGCCATTCCTCTCCTGCAGGGCTTTTAATTTTGTGTCTACAGTTTTGTGAGCATGTGCAGACATAATTGTGTTACTCACTAGTGGAGGTAAGAGGATGAAAACGCGCAGGTGGGTTCTGGAATCCAACTCAAGTTGTCAGGCTTGGCAGCAGGCAGCTTTGCCCATTAAGCCATCTCTTCCTGTCCTCTGTACAGGGTTTTTAATCTAGGGTCTTAATTCTTAGACTGTGCAGGGATACCCATGAGCACAGAGATTCCTGTGAAAGAAAATAATAATCTATTAATGCATGTATTCACTGTTCTAAAAGGTACTGATAATATAAATAATACAATTAAAATAATTTAATGAGATTTCCTAATTGGTAAGTGGAGTTAGTCACTACTTCTCCCAATTGTCTTTTGAGTCCTGGTAAATTCAAAATAAATCACTTAAGCATTCAAAAAAGCTTTAAAATTTTTTTTAGGGGTTGGAAGGACAACTCAGTCTTCCAGAGGACCCAGGCTTAATACCCAGCATCCACACAATGGTTCACAACCATCTTTAACTCCAGTCCCAGGGAATCTGATGACCTCTCTGGACACCATGCATGTGGTATACAGGCATATAAGCAGGCAAAACATTCATGTAGAGATAGACATTGAAATTTCACGTGTGCATATTTCTATGTCCTCTGTGCCTGATGGCGGGAAGTCAGGCTAGCAGGTCCCCTAGAACTGGAGTTAAAATGGTTGTGAGCCACCGGGTGCTGGGAAGTGAGCCCGGGTCTGAAGTAAGGGCAACAGTGGTGTTGTGTTGCAAATTGTTCTGATCAGGTTTTAGGTCCTGGGTCCATAAATTAAAGGAGCGTGTTTAAAATAACTAGGCAAAGCTGGGTGATGGTGCACAGCTTGAATCCTAGTGCTCTGGAGGGAGAAGCAAACAGACCTCGGGGTTTGAGGCCTGCCTGGTCTGCAGAGTGAGTTGCAGGACAGCTACACAGAGAAACCTTGTCTTCAAAAATCCAAAGAAAAGGGTAGGCGATCAATGCTGCTATTGATGGTGGCCGTTCATTTGTCACTTACTGGGTTTTAAACAGATGACATTAGGGTTTTTTCTTGAAATTTTGGGTCAGGCCTTAAGTTATAGTTAGAAAAACAAAACCCAGTGGGATAAATTCTGCAGGTCCCAAAGGGACACAAAAAAGACTTCTCCGGTGCCTAGGAATTTACCCAAAGGAAAAGAACAGGGTAAGAGCAACTAATTAGAGACTTGAAAAGGGTGGAAATGACTCTTGAGAATTGTGAGCAGCTCATGTTAGTGGAGCTGTGGTGAGCTCTTAGGGGAGCCATCTCTCTGAGCTGGTGATCATCCTTGGCCTCCGGGCTTGGATGATTCACGCCTACAGTGAATCAATTTACTGCATCATGTTTCTCGATGTGCCACCCTACGTCGAGTTATCCTGAAAGGGAAAGCAAGCAAATAAGCTTTAGCGATTCATTGTGCAGAAGTACCATCTACACACGCCTGGTTCTTTCTCAGGGGTAGGTTTCTGGGCAAGGATATTAGATATTGTAAACTTAAATTTCTCATGGGTGTTTTCCCCCAGAGCTTTTCTGAACCTCTTGGTGTCTGGAAACTTGGCGTTGGTTCTCTTATAAGAACACCATATATTTTTAACTGCCAGGCCATCTTAGCCACCTAAGCTGCTTTTTTCTGTTACTAAATGAGATCAGCTCTTGCCATGCAGCCAAGTGTTGTCTAGTTTAAGCTGCTTAATGTAAAATCCATTTTTTTCCATTGTTGGATTGAACCCAGGATCACAGTGGACAAAATTACTAAATGAAAACTCCATGGGAGGGAAGACCCTTACTATTTGTGAATAAATTCATGGTAGATTGTAAAGATTAGCAGTTGGGTGTAAAGTTATTGGGACTTGTTTTGTGACATGGTTTCCAGCCAAAACTCTCCTCTACCTTGGTATCTAGTGACTGAGCCTCCTGGTCCTCCTGCCTTACAGGTATGCGAGGACTTCTCAAATTGTGTTGAGGATGGAACCCAGGGCCTGCCAGCTGTGTTACATCCTCAGACCAAGAACTTCTGTCATAAATGTTTACCCTCAAACATTAAAAAAGCAGTGGCGCATTGCCTTTACTCCTAGCACTAAGGAGGCAGAGGCAGTCTGCTCTCAAACTTGGCTCAACTGGGGTTGCAGGCATTAGCTAACCTAATGTTTTAATATATTTTATTCTTCATAAAACCGCCTTTTCCTAGTAAGAAGGTCATTATTGCTAGCTCAGATCCTGAGCCTGCCCCCGCCCGCCGCCAAAGCCAGGTTCCAGAGAACAGTCCTCCAGTTTCCCATCTTTATACCCCCAAACTATGACATACTTGATGAATACAGGCTCACAAGTCTTTGTGATGTCTCTTCACACCTGTAGTTTATCTTCCATTTCACTGCAGAACTTCAATAAACAACTACTCAATTAAAAAGTGTTTGCCAATAAAGTGTGTAAACATTGGTTAGGTGTGTTGTGATTTGAGATTGTGCAGGAAGATCTTATTTCTATGACTTTGGGTCTTGCTGTCATTGATGCACAGAAGTGACTCCCTAATGTTTTTAGAGACATTTCTATTAGTAACTTATAGTGTAGGTTTCCTCTTTCCAACCTCCTTACTAACACATTCTCCTGATGATTGTATTTAATATAAGCTATTTGAAATAGCAACTAAGTTACTTTAGCTGATTTCTCTTGCTATACATTCTTCATAGACTGGGTCCTGTGTCCCTTCCATACATTCATCATCTATTGGTCTTAATTTTTGTCTTCCAGTTGATCATTGTGATTAACTTATTTTCCAAGTATTCCTCCACATTTCACTATTTTTGTGGAATGCCATGCTGTGAGGCATCCATTGTGGATTCTGACTTTTAAGTTATCTTTAAATTTTGTCTGTTCTCTTTCTCTTTGATTTATTTTCTTCACAGTGGAATCAGAAATGCTTTTTCAAGGATGTGAATATAGTTCTGCATGCTCTGTTTTGTGGTGGGGTGTTAATAACCAGGGTTTGTATCTGCTAATTCTTCTATAGCCTTGAATACATATCTTATTATGTAACCCCAGGAGAATAGCTATTTACTACCTCCTTGGTCTTCTCTGCAATTTTACCTACAAAAGCACTGTGTTTTTACCCCTGCTTCTCTTCACTTGCCTTAACACTTTAACATCAGATCATTCTTATTCTTCAGATTATTATTATTATTACTATTAGCTAACTAAATTGATGCACATTTTGGTTTCTATCTGCATATACTGTAAGCTCCATGAGGACAAAGATTGTTTTATCACAGTTTCTCTGAGGCCTAATTGATAGAAGCACTGATGAAATAAAACAATAAATTGAGCTAAAGTGCTGAGAGTTGACTTTTTTACCTATCAAAACGAACTGGCTATGTGTGAATAGCATTATTCAGAAAGCATCCAGAACTTTGTTTTTCGAGACGGGGTTTTTCTACTTTGGAACCTGTCCTGGAACTCACTCTGTAGACAACGCTGACTTCAAACTCACCAATAATTAAATCTTTATAGGAAGATTCTCTGCCTTCCAAATTTTGAGTCCTATGAGGGTGGCCGCAGCCTGAAGGGTACCCTTATCTCAAAGCAGAAGCATCTCAGGTCCTAGGGCTTTTTGCAGCAGAGAACTCTCAGAGGGGGATCTATTGCCTGTTCCAGGGAGTCTCAAACTGCTTATGACCTCTGCAGAGACCTCTCTTCACAGCGGAAAAATTCAGCCTTTTTTTTTTAAATGGTGTGTTAGCCTCTTACGCTATCCACCGCTAATTAATTGTATAGCACAGGAGTTTCTGTCTCAACAACTAAAATATAGTTCTCTCTGGCACGAATCCTCACCGGACAAATCGGAGGCCAGAAGTCCCGCTGGACTCTTTTTATTATTATATATAATGTACCTTTATCTGTCGGGTCGACCAGTTGACTGTGTGTTATATTTATTTTTTTACGCAGACTAGGAGCGGGTTGACCAAAATGTCCTATAAACTGTTTGGCCTTAAAAGTATCGAATAAAGTTTCCAGGGGAAAGCTTTCTAAGCCCGCCTACTGCTCCTGTTTTTGGGGTGTTCTGCAACGTCACTGAGGTGTTCAGGCGCCTAGCATTTTTAGGGAGGTGTGCGAACCTGTGGACGCACTCGTGCCGCTTTTCCCGCCTTCTCGCTAGCAAGGAGGCGTGACCTACAAAGAACAACGCCGGCCGCGTGTGTCGGGGACCCGCCCCGCGCAGGGGGAGGGGGTGGGAGCGGGCTTTCTCGCGAGAGTGAGCTCTCGTTCTGTCGCCACCTCCTGCCAGCGCCGTTGCTGCGGGGGATTGTGGGAGCCTCCGCGTCCCGCTCGCTGAGAGAGGTATCTCTCCTTTTCCCTCTCCCTTCCCCTAAGGTAGGCGTGAAGCGGGTAAGAGTCCGGGTGGGTGGCCGGGGCTGTCCGCGTCCGCTGAGCGGGGCTGCCGCCGCGGCCACGGCTGTTGGGATTTGGCGGCGCGCCGTTCCCTCTCGCTCCCGCTCCCCGTGCCGTCTCCGCTGGCGCTGCGTATGTGAGCCGCCTGAGCGGCGGCCGCCAGGTTAGGAGTGCGGTGGCGGCGCAGCCTGCCTCTCCGGGCGGCAGAGGTGAGCCGTTCTGCGGGAGGACGCGCAGTCAGCCGACGGCCGGGGGTGCGGCGGGAGAGTCGGAGTCCGGAGGTTCGATTCGCCTCTCTGCCGAGCGTCCTGCGCGCCGGGCTTAGGGGGCGGGGGCGGGACGAGCCCGTTACACGCGGGCCGTCGGCTATGGGAGGAGGGAGGAGCGTTCGGAGCCCGAGGGAGCGGAGGCCGTCCGCTGGGGCCCGCTGTCCGGGGAGGGAGGGTAGCCAACCCAAGGAAGTCCGTGGGCGCGCGAGTACCACACGGTGCGTTTGTCGTTTTTCCCTGAAAATGGACCCAAAATGGAGGATTCCGTAGGCCGTGAAAAGCTTGCGTGTTTTGACCGACGTTATTTTCCCTGGCGTCAGTGGCCTTGCCGTCCCTCACCCCTCGCTCCGTTTTGTTCCCTTCCCAAGACTCCCGCGTTCCTCACCCGCGCGCGATTTTAGACCGACATCTGGAACAATTCCTCCCCATCCCCCCCCAGTTGCGTAAAAATGGCCGAAAATAAAACGTTAACGCTTGGCTTTTGTATTGCCTCCTGGGTAGAGCTTTCTGCATGCTGCTCGGTAGAATGTTCGTTTCATCAG